AAATATTTTCCTCTGCCAGGATTAGTAATGCAGAGGTTTAGTTTGTTTAGTCAGGCCTTTCTTCCTCTGCCATTATATACTCAACTATTATATACATGTTTTTTATTGGAGAGGAAGAAGATTGTAGCTAACCATTTCAATAAAACTGGCAGCAAAATTGCATGGATTGGCTCCCAATCAGAGGGAGCTGAGCTGGACTCAAAGGCGCCTTTACTTTTTTTTTTTTTGCATTCTGAGGGAATATGTAATTTTTTTAATTTGAGGACCTTGCTGATTGGATCTATTGCATTTAAACTTCCCAGTGCTTGCTATAACTGTGAGTGTGGCGGGGGTTCAACTCAGCTGCATAGAATAGAACCTGTATTATTTTTCTGGACAGTATTTCAAAGCAGATCATTTGCCCCCAGCAGTTTGGGTAGCAAACTATGGAGTAAGAGGACTGGACAGAATGAAAGATAAGGGAGAAGACAAGAAATAGATGGCCAGTTCACCAGGACCTAATATGAACCACCGGAGCTAGACACATCGTTGGTGATTAAAGATTCTTTTCAAACTTTCTGGGAAGACAATACAGGGCAGTATCCTGTATTGACCAATGTTTTCCACACTACAAAGTGCACAAGAAATCAAATAGCAGCAACAATAGTATTTTAGGCTTATATACCCCTCATAGCGCTTTATAGCACTCTCTAGGTCAGGGGTGTCAAAGCCGGCAATGGCAAAACACTCCCGATACATCGTGCAATGTCATATGACGTTGCAAGTTTGACATGTCTGCTCTAGGTGATTTACAATGTAAGTATTATTTGCATGTTGCCCCCAACAATCTGGGTCCTCATTTTACTGACCATAAAAGGATTGAAGGCTCAGTTAATCTTGAACTCGTCGGGATCGAACTCCAGGCTGTGGGAAGAGTTTGCCTGCAATTTTGCACTTTAGCCACTGCGCCACCAGGGCTCCAGGGTTTTCAAATGGGAAACAGGCCGGCTGTTCTGAATGTGTTTGACACAAAGCTAGAAATTTTCCCCTTTTTTCACCTATGCCCGTTGGCTCAGCATTTCACAGAAAGGGGAAATGCTTCTTTTCTAGGCTCAATGCCTGTAGTGTCCAAAATTGTGGAAACCTTTTGGGAAAAGTGTATTTTTGAGGTTTGATGGCTAATAACACCACTTTTGGGGGGAAGAGTACCATAAAATTATATATCAATGGAAAGATAATTTAATCAAGAATGTAATGCAACAAAGTTTGTTCATAAAATTATATATCAATGGAAAGATAATGTAATCAAGAATGTAATGCAACAAAGTTTGTTCAATTATCTGTACTGTATTCTATGAAAAGTTATAGCCAAATAACCAGAAAAAAGGAAGCACGACTTGCTTAGGTTGATATCAGGTAGCTTTCCTTCATCTGATTGTAGCCAATGAGCATGAGTGTTTAGAGAGCCAATCAGGCGTCATCTTGTTTTGGCAATGAGCCAATCAGAACACAGTAGGATTCAGTGATTGATGTCATGTGTTGAAGCTGAGAGGAGGACATTTGTCAGGGTGTTATGTGATCGCTATCAAGTTGGTTGGGGGTTTTTGTGTTCTTTCATTTAGTGAGCTTGTAAAACGTAATAAAATTAAAGTAATGGTACAAAGAGTTGACTGGTTGCCCAGAAAGCGATGTAAAATAGTATTATTACGTGAACAAGGCTACAGTTACAAAGAAATTAGAAGAAAATGGGTGGAAACTTAATCAAAGGTGGCATTTCTAATGTACACTTTTCCCAAAAGTTTTCCACAATTTTGGCCACTACTGTAGTTGGATTTTCTAATCCTGCTACTGAAATATGTTTGAAGTGAGCAGGTGTTGACTGGCGCCAATCCGGAATGCCTTGCCATTCTTTCTGATCCTCTTTCTGGCTCTTCTGATACGTCTTTTCATCCAGCCACCTGCTTCATGGCTCTTCCTGATGCAGTGGATTGTAATCCACAGAAGCTTGTGCTTGCTGTGTCTCTTAGCTTTTGTGATTTCCTTTCATTAACTTTTTTTCCCTGGGAGAGAACAGAAGCCTTCTTCTCCTTCAATTCATTTTGTTTTTTTATAGTTTTGTAATTAAGTATGATACTAGTATGTTCAAGTCATTAAGATACAGGCTTGCTTCAAACTTGACATGTAAAAACAGAGAGAAGATAGCTGCATAACTAGTATACTTTTCTTTGCAGCCTGTTGTTCTGCTTGCTTGCTTGTTTGCTTGATTTTAGATTTCCATTCCAATTTATTTTTTTCTGCAGCTTCAAGGCAAGGGTGCATGGCGTTCCATTTTCCTACTTTCTCCCCCATAACAACAAGCCTGTGAGGTAGGCTGGACTAAGACAAAATGACTGACCCAAATCATAGCAACATGTAGCTTATAAATAATCACCCAGCAAGCTGTCATAGTTGATCTGAACTTGGCTTCCACTCCAATATCTTATCTAAAACAGAAAAAAAGGCTGAATGTGCTTTTAATATGTTGCTGGCTGTCCAGAGTCACATCCCTAAAATGAGTGGCTATATAAATTGATTCAATAAATTGAATAAAATATAAAAATATTTATTTCCCTTGACTAAGAATAAATGAATGAATACATGCTTATTGTGACCCCTGGGCAATCAATCAGTTCTTCGGTCTTTTCTAACAGTTGCACAAATTTCTGCTTCTGTGTAGTAGTCAGTAGAAGAAAACTTTCATTTCAGCCAGTCGTGCAAGCCAATTTCAAAGACAAAGGGTTGAATTCAAAATTCCAATGAAGGTAAATACCCTGGATCAAGTTCCCCCAGCCAGGTATGTGCTTGGGAGAATTGAAAATACTTTAGGATCAGATCTGGAGGCTGCAAAAAAGAGACAGAGGAAAGGGGAAATTTTAGTTTCTGAGCAATAATTTTGAGGAGGATTTCCAGTTTTCCTAGTTAGGCATGCACCCTCCTAAACATGCAAAGGGTAATCATTTAAAAGCTGATCAGTTAGGAAATGTGAACATCTGTGTATACTGTACTCTGTGGCAGTGATAGACTCAGATGTGATGTTGTGCTTTTTTATTTTACTATAGAAGAGAAGAACAACTGCTAATTTCCTAATCACCAGCTGGAAAGAGTTGAGTTGCATTTCCCTTACTGTATGGGCAGAAGGTCTTCTGCAGATAAATATCATTACAAAGATTTCTTTTCAAGAATAGTTCTGAAACCATAGCTGACCTTTCAGAGGTCAAGACAGCAGAGCATTTTTCACGGGCACCAATGGTCTATATATTCTTTTGTCTTGGCATTTGAAACACGTTTTCAGGGTTATTTCTGAAACGTGGAAAGGGAACTGACACCAGATAACTCATTCCTACATCATGTTTCCTTAATTAAACTTCCACGGCGCAGATACAAATGTTTTCTTCAAATTCAGCCTTTGGGGTGCCCAATCCTTTGTGTAGGGCAGGGGTGTCAAACTCACAACGTCACGTGACGTGTCGCCATGTATCGCGTCTTTTTTTCCCCATTGCCGGCAATGGGGTGGGCACGATTTCACTATGATGCATCCGGCCCGCGGGCCAGCAGTTTGACACCCCTAGTGTAGGGGGAAAAATTGTGATTTCAAAAGCCAGCATGGTATAGTTCAGGGGTAGGCAACCTCGGCTCTTTTATGACTCATGGACTTCAACTCCCAGAATTCCTGAGTCAGCTATGCTGACTCAGGAATTCTGAGAGTTGAAGTCCATGAGTCATAAAAGAGCCGAGGTTGCCTACCCCTGGTATGGTTTAAAAGTGGTGGATTTGGGCGCCCTGGTGCCTTGTCCTGCTCAGCTGTGAACATTCAGCTTCCTCTGTTGAACCTGCTGAGCAGAATTATTTATGTCATTTTCCATTTTTATCCTGCCCTTTTGGGGAAGTGTAAAAAGCAACATACTTGTATCGCCAAAACTACAAAAATATCCGATTTTTGTAATGTGGTTTGCCGTTCCAAAAATAGGCACGTTAAAAGAAAGCCTGTGTAAAAGGGATGTTTTCAGAAGAATGTAAACATACATTTTCAGTTTAAAAAGAAAATAAAAATAAAGCTAATCCTGAATGGATTTAAAGTGGGGGGAAAAAATGAAAAATATTCATGTGAAACCAGACTTTAAAACATCGTCTTTCCCCTTTTGAGACCAGAATGTGCTAAGCTTATGTAACGCAGCCTTCGCTTCATATGGGGGGGGGGGCGGGCTCCTTATGGCCACAAAGTTTGCAAAAGCAGGACATTTGTTTCGCAAAGCGCGTCCTTCTTTCCCTTCTCTCAAACTACTGGCCTCAAAAGGGACAAACCGAAGCAGCCAAGCTATTTATTTTTTTTATTATTGAAAATTTTATAAAGTTTTACAATATAAATCCCCCTCCCCCAAACCCAACCCTCCCTCCCTCCCCCCCTCACTTCCCAGAGCCAATCACAGGATTAACAATAAAATAATCATAATCTAACTAACATTAATCAACTATTAGTCTAGCAAGTCTATAACTTCCTTTAACTCTCTTTTAAAACAAATATACAATTATTAAATACCCTCATTTTAACATAATTTTAAATATTAAAAATCAGAAGTTCAATCAAAAACCAAATGATATTTTTTGTTCCATATTTCAACTCAATATAAACAATCCATCTTCTCCAAACCAATATATATCTTTCTTGTGAGTAATCCTTCACATAAGCGGAAATCTTGGTCATTTCAGCTAAATTTGAGACTTTAACTACCCAATCCTCTATAGTAGGTAAACCTTTCATTTTCCAATGCTGAGCAATTAACAATCTTGCAGCCGTTATAAGATTTAACATCAACTCCATTTCTTTTACATCCGAATCTTCCAAAATAGAAGCAGCCAAGCTATTGAAGGCTGATGCCAGATGCCCGGGTAGGAATTTGCCTGCCTCCAGATGATGCTCCCCCCCCTTTCCCAATCGAAAGGATGCTCGTACAAATAATTATGAATTGCTTTGCTACCCACAGGTTTGAAAGCACCGTCCAGATTGGCAAGCTGCAAGACCTGATCCACCGCAGTAAAATGGCCCGATGTAGAGGCCGGTTTGTCTGCCCCGTTATCCTCTACAAGGGAAAGGTAAAGCTGTGCGTATCCTGTACACCAGAGGTCCCCAACTTTTTGGGCGCCAGGGATCCGTTACGTGGAGAGAGGTTTTTCCGCGGACCGGAGGGGGCGTGGTTTTGTGTGCTGCCTGCATCCCGGGGCTTTGCTTGTTTGTGTGGACTGGTTACTGGCATGCCGCGGCCCGGTACCGGTCCACGGCCCGGGGGTTGGGGACCCCTGCTTACACCTTTCATAGATTGCTTCTGTCCTTGGGGAAATGGATCATGGTGGCCTTTGCTAGACTAAATACTAGGAGGCCTGAAAATTAGCCAGGATCTTCTGCGTGTGAGTCTCCTGCTTCTTCTTCTCATCATCTGAAGCTGCCCTCAGAGAGGCAGCAGAGGAAACGGGGCCTTCTCTCACCTGAAGCTTCTCACAATTTTATGGTGGAACACTTGGAGAGGTTTTATTGGGGCAAGAAAAACCAAATGTACAGGTATAGTATAGGGGGTACCTTGCTCAATAGTAGTAACTGCGAGAGGGACCTTGGAGTCCTAGTGGACAATCATTTAAATATGAGCCAGCAGTGTGCTGCAGCTGCCAAAAAAGCCAACACAGTGCTAGGCTGCATTAACAGAGGGATAGAATCAAGATCACGTGAAGTATTAATATCACTTTACAATGCCTTGGTAAGGCCACACTTGGAATATTGCATCCAGTTTGGGTCACCACGATGTAAAAAAGATATTGAAACTCTAGAAACAGTACAGAGAAGAGCAACAAAGATGATTAGGGGACTGGAGGCTAAAACATATAAGGAATGGTTGCTGGAACTGGGTATGTCTAGTTTAACGAAGAGAAGGACGAGGTGGGACATGATAGCAGTCTTCCAATATCTCAGGGGTTGCCACAAAGAAGAGGGAGTCAAGTCATTCTCCAAGGCGCCTGAAGGCAGGACAAGAAGCAACGGATGGAAACTAAGCAAGGAGAGAAGCAACCTAGAACTAAGGAGAAACTTCCTGACAGTTAGAACAATTAACCAGTGGAACAACCTGCCACCAGAAGCAGTGAATGCGCCAACACTGGAAGTTTTTAAGAAGAAACTGGACAGCCATTTGTCCGAAATGGTATAGGGTTTCCTGCCTGAGCAGGAGGTTGGACTAGATGACCTCCGAGGTCCCTTCCAACTTTATCATTATTATTATTATTATAACATTTGCTGCCTTTACTGAATAGCCGATTCTCTCTTTTTTTCTCTCTTTTCTTTGGATGTTTGTCAAGCAGACTTTAATATTTATTTAAAATTTCCTTAATTAACCTCAGCTCATTCTGAGCTTGGACCTTCCTGGCACTCTCTCTGCAGTTCTGGGCTTCCGCTCTATGCTCTCCCTTTGTGACCTGGCCTGTTTCCCATTTCTCCTGCATGTATCTCCTTTTCTGTTCTCAGATTTTTAAATAAGCTTTTTATGTAGCCACATTGGGGTTTTTTTTTTCTCCCCGGTGGTGTTCCATTTTGTTTCTTGCTAGAATTGTTATCTTACTTGTGCACTTATAGTGAAGGTAGTCCTCGACTTACGTACGCCATTGGGATCAGAAATATGGTTATAAGCTGTTATGGTTGTAAGTCAAGGCACCCACAAGCGGTCATGTGACCACGAGGGAGCAGTGCAATCAATGTGACCATTTAAAATGGCCAAGTTTGTAAATATAAACCGAGACAACACGCTGCTTACCAAATATTAATGGTGATTATGTTAAAAAAAATAATAAAATATATTAAATGGCCAAGTGGTGCTTTATAGGCCAGTGGTGGCGAACCTATGGCACGGGTGCCAGAGGCGGCACTCAGAGCCCTCTCTGTGGGCACATGCGCCGTCACCCAGTCCTAGGCCTTCAGCTGGGTTTTATAAAACCTTTTCGCTTTAGGCCTCCACCGCTGTGTAAAAAAAAAAAAAGGTCCAATCAATCAGTCAATTTCAACTTCTCGCGGGAAAAAAAAAGATCTTGCAAAGTTGGAATTGATTGATTGAACTTTTTAGTCCCACCCAGTCTGTTGTTACCACCGCAGCCACGCCCACCCAATGGGCCACGCCCACCCAGCACCCAACGATGCATAAGTGGGTTTTGGGTTGCAGTTTGGGCACTCGGTCTCTAAAAGGTTCGCCATCACTGTTATAGGCAGTAAAGTACCACTTAACGCGGCCGTCGTAAATGTGAACAATCCTTAAGCGACTGACCATAAGTTGAGGATTACCTATATCAGGGATCTTCAAACTTGGCCCTTTTATGACTTGTGGACTTCAACTCCCAGAATTCCTCAGCCAGCGTGCCTGGCTGAGGAATTCTGGGAGTTGAAGTCCACAAGTCATAAACGGGGCAGGTTTGAAGACCCCTGACCTATATCTCTTTCTTTAGAAACTTCCACTCAGCTTGAACTCCTTTTCCCATTAACGTCTCACGTCTGGAGAATCTTTTTCATCATTGCACTAGAGCTGCTTAAAATCCATCTAAAGTGCAAAAGAGACTTGTTTGAATGTAGTTAGTTTTAGTGTAGCTTCTTATAGAATTAAGACCTTTAGTACTACTTTTCCCCAGTGTTCTTGCTGTTTCTTCAATTAGATCAGGGGTAGTCAACCTTGGCTCTTTTATGACTCGTGGACTTCAACTCCCAGAATTCCTGAGCCAGCTTAGCTTGAAGTCCACGAGTCATAAAAGAGCCAAGGTTGACTACCCCTGAATTAGATCATCTTCATTAAAGATGATGAGTTGATAAGCATTAGAAGAGGACTGCCGAGAGTGTAGGAGAATGGGAAGAAATTGTAGGATCTCGACACTGGGATTGCTGTAGTAAGGAATGAAACCTGTGTCGTAAGCTGTGCAACCACCAGTATCTAACTAGAAGGCTCTCTAGAGCAGGGGTGAACACGTCACGTGGAAGCCGCGCCCACCCCATTGCCGGCAATGGCAAAACCGCCCTGATACCTTGTGCGACGTCACGTGACGTCAAATCAAATCAACCTTTATTGTCAAAGTACAACATGTGTACAATGAGATTGGCTGAGCCTCCCTTCGTGCACCCCCCCAACACAACTCACAGTGACAACAAACGCACAATCTTATTGCACCATGTGAACTTATTGCACAACGCAGAAGTGCTGACCAGGGTGTGAGTCGTCCCTGAGGATTTTCCTCACTCTTCTAAGGCAACGGGCCCTAGCGATGTCATCTAGTGGTGTCAGGGGACAGCCCACAGTGTTTTGTGCTGTGCTCACCACCCTCTGTAGTGTCTTTCTATCCGCGGCTGTCAAGCCAGCATACCCCACCATAATGCAAGGTGAGAGGACGCTTTCTATAGTCACAAGTTTGACATGTCTGCTCTAGAGCAAAACCATTTTGATTTGGGTTAGTACAATAAACCTGAAAGAGAATGGAGTCCATTGCTATATCTTTGTACTGTTCTTGGTCTTTGTCTGTCTCCCCAGCATATATGCCGGTCAGCCACATTGGCAGGGTGGGGAGAACTTTATGGGCGAACAGGATACAATTACATTTTCTCAGGTAAGGGAAAAGGAGGCTTGTGGGACATGTAGTTTTGCTGTTGATAATGCTATTTGAAGAGAAATGGAACATCTGTGGAAATTAGTAGGGTTTGCTCTTTTAAGCGTAGAGGAGCAAGTAATAATAATATGGGTTGCTAGGTTTGAGTTAGTGTTACTGTATGTATAAATCCAGGCCCTGTGGCTTGTAAAATGTGGTTTAATGTTGTGCATGCATTAAGTTAAAACAAATCATAGGTTAATGGGTGCAAGGTTTATATGTAAATAGCCACTGGTTATTTCAAGATGACAACCAAGCTCCTGTGATGCACAAAGAGACTCTCGTGGCCAGACTTAGCCACCAGGCGAAACGTGTTGATCTTTTGCATCAAAAACAAAACCCAACCAAGTTTATTTCATTGGCTTCGTGGGGTGGCCCAGGAAGAATCCTTTATGGCAGGGGTCTCTAAACGTGGCATCTTTGTTGACTTCAACTCCCAGAATTCCTCAGCCAACCATGCTTAAAGTTGCCAGGATTGGAGATTCCTGTTCTAGGGCGGTGTTTTTCAACCTTAACAACTTTAAGAGGTCGGCACTTCAACTCCTAGAATTCTCTTGCCAGCGATTATGGCTGGGGAATTCCGGGAGTTGAAATCTAGGCTTATTAAAGTTGGTAAGGTTGAAAAACACTGTCCTTTGGGATAGCCCTGATGATCTCACTTGACCCATTCACAACAGCAAGTCCGTTTGGACTGTTTAATTTGCTGAACTAATGGGAACTCTGAAACTACCTGGGAGAAGTACTAGATCAGCGGTTCTCAACCTGTGGGTCGCGACCCCATTTGGGGTCGATCGACCATTTCACGGGGTTCGCCAAGCAAGGCTGTCCGCCATTTTTTTTTCCCTTTTCCGGCGGGTGCCTTACCTCCCTTGAGCTGGGCCAGCTGGTGGTCGGCCTGCTCTGTCTCTGCCGCTTGCCAGCTACGCCTCGGCCGGCGCAGGGGACGGAACCACGCATGCACGGCGCTCCCAGGCAGGGAAAGTCCTCGACTTACGACCGGTTGGGTAGTCCTCGACTTACGACTGGTTTAGTCCTCGACTTACAACCGGTTTAGTCCTCGACTTACGACTGGTTGGGGGTCACGGCATTAAAAAGGTTGAGAACCACTGTACTAGATCATAAAAACAGCTTTCTCAGTCTCAAACCACAGTTGCTATAATTCATCGCAAGAAACGATGCGACTGCTAACTTGCTTTTCTCTTCCTTTTTTAATGGCTATTTATAGGGGGTTCAGACGATGCCTGGGCAGATACGGAAGACTTGTCAGAAGAGGACTCTGCTTTAAGGTCTGTTTGTTTTCTGTGCTGTGATGAGTTGTATGATTTATTTTCTCAGCGCTCTCTCTCTCTCTCTCTCTCTCCCTCCCTCCCTCTCTTTCTCTCTCTCTCCAACATTAACTCGTCAAAAAGTTTCTTTCACTAACCTGGAATTGCAGGGGGGATAATTGTTATACTTCCTGAACCTTTGTTGTGCCAGTGCAAAACAATTAAAAACATCCCTGGAACTTCAGAAGTTGGTAGTTGAAGCAATAGCTACTGTCCTGTTACATAAGTTATATAACTGGTTATATAAGTATTTTATTGAGCCTCCCTCTGTGAGGGTGAAGAACAGTTCAAAAAGAAAATGTGATAAATAAATAAAGTTAGGGGCTATCGGGAGAAATAAGTAGAGCCAAGACTCGTGTGGGCCATAGGATGAAAGTCTTACAGCATTGCTATGAATTTTATTTAATGTCTATTTTATTTTAACTTCAAAAGGTGTTCTTGAAGATGCTCAAAGTAATTTATAGCAGATTTTTTTTTATTCTCTTTTATTCTAACTTCAAAGATGTTCTTGAAGATACTCTTATGGCAGATTTTTTTTTTAAAAAATGATAAATTTGAAATTGCACTGAAATCTCACAAAAAAAAATAAAATTTCTCAGCCAAGAAGAAAGTATTTTGCACACTCAACAAAGTATTATAATGTTAGATCATAAATGTAGATTAAGCACTTAAAATTCTTCTCTGTAGACCAGGGGTGTCCTACTCTGGCAACTTCAAGACTTGTGGATTTTCCCAAATTCCCCAGCCATCATGGCTTAGGTCATTAACATCACTTAATATTTTCTCTAGCTTGATTTTTGTTCCAATCCGATTCTGGAGAGGGTGATTTTTTTTTAAAGGGATTGAGGAACTTTTTGGACTTCCCAATTACCAGGGCAATAATCCTCCAGTTTGAGAGGTGAATTGGGGAGCTGTTGTATCCAAACCAATCAAACTGTCCAGATTTATGGTGTTTATTAACGTGTCTTTGTCCCTAGTTCCCCACACCTTATTTTGACCCATTTACATAGAGGATTTCTAATGTTTTAGTCCTAAGATGGATGCCATCTCTAGGGGCACCTCCGTTGCAAAAACTATCTTGAAATGAATGGGACTTTCAGGATCTTAGTCCCCCATAAAGCATTCTGGCTGGTCTGTCATGTAAGGCTTCCTAAAATCATTTGATTTCCCATAATGGCATGCTAAGCCTCATTTTTCCTTCATTGCAGAAATGCAGACTCACAACTCTTCGACAAAGTCCGAGGTCACGACATCAAGCTCTTGCGGTATCTGTCAGTTGCATACATCTGTGACCTGATGGTGGAGAACAAAAAAGTGAAGTTTGGATTGAAGTAAGCACCTGGGCTCCATATACTCCAGAGGCTGAGGGAAAATTTTGAGCCACAATCCAGCTGAAAAATGCTAACAGCATAACAGAGTTGGAAGGGACCTTGGAGGTCTTCTAGTCCAACCCCCTGCTCAAGCAGGAAAACCTGTACCGTTACAGACAAAGGATTGTCCAATCTCTCCTTAACAACCTCCAGTGTTGGAGCAGCCACAACTTAGAGCTGGACTTCGGCCTCAGTGGTAATTAGATTCAAAGAGGTTGGACATCCATTTGTCTGAAATGGTAATAGGGTTTCCTGCTTGAGCAGAGGGCTGGACTAGAAGACCTCCAAGGTCGCCTCCAATTCTGTTATTCTGTTAAATCAGACATGTCAAACACAAGGCCCGGGGGCCGGATGCGGCCCGCAAAGTGGTTTCATGTGACCCGCGAAGCCATCCCGGAAACAGTAAGGGAAAGGCCCCCGCTGCCTTGGCCCTGGCCCAGGCCGGCCGGGAGCCAATGTACAATTTTGTGGTGGCCATCTATGCTGAAACGCATTCAGTCTTAGCTCCACAAGGCCGTCCGGAAACAGCGAGGAACCAGCCCCTGCTGTGCCGCCCCCGCCCCCTGGGTGCATGCTGGGGAGGTGTCACCCTTTGTGAGGAAGGAAGAAATGGACCATGCCTTGGTGCTTGCCCCAGTCCCACCCCCTTCTGTCAGAGACCCTCAGATCTGTCCCACTCCTGCCCAGGCACCCTTGACGCGAACAATGTAGAGCTGGCCATGCCCACCCAGTAAGCCACACCCACCCTGGCCACACCCCTCCCCAGGGCAGCCGCAATGCTGATGCGGCCCTCAATGAACTTGAGTTTGACACCCCTGTGTTAAATGCTTATTCTGCCACAAATTGTCCTCATTTGATGATTGTGGGCAAAGCGCTGTTGCTCAGCTAATTTGTGAAGGTAAAAGGCAGGAAGTCATCCTGATTGCTACTTTGAAATGTGTGGAGAGCGATGGGAAAGAAATAAAATCTAAGGTTCCTAGACGATGATATTGTGTTGTTATTGTTGTTGTTATCCACAGAAATATCTGTGGATAACAACAGATCTCACAGAAATAAATGCCACGTTTGTTTAGAGCAGTGAAACTTTTAGAGACCGAGTGCCCAAAAACTGCCCCCGCAGAGCCACCCAACGCCTCCACGGCCCACAGCAGTAGATCACCCAGGTGGCCCAGCAGCGCCATGGCGACCACACCCTCCGCCTGCGTCCCGCATCATCTGCGTGTGACGAGGCACGTGGGCGGAGGTTTTGCCCGGCTGCCATGTCCTTGGCTGCGCTGCTCCGCGTGGGCCACACCTGGGGGCGACTCTCCTCTGGGGGGGGAGTTGCCGGTGAGGAGGGGGCCACGGGGGAAGGCGGGGCTGGGGCGACAGCGCACGTGCCCACAGAGAGGGCTCTGAGTGCCCCCTCTGGCATGCGTGCCATAGGTTCACCACCACTGGTTTAGAGGGTTGAGAGTGAGAACTGACTACAGACGTGGTCTTATAGCCTTAATTGTCGAGAGCCAGAAAATGTAGTTCAGCTCTGCAAATGTAAAAAATAAAAAGACCCAGAATTTCTAGGTGCAGTGAAGTGGTTCCATTATGTTAAGCTGCTTTTGCTAAATATTGCCAAAGGATTTCACCCCCACAGAGTGCATTTCCTTGTCTCTTTCAGTGTGACTTCTTCTGAGAAAGTGGATAAAGCACAGCGTTATGCTGACTTCACGCTCCTTTCCGTCCCCTACCCGGGTAAGTGGGAGCAATATATTATAAATTTGGGCTGTAGCAAAATAATTGACTTTGGTACCTGTTAGATCAGTGTTTCTCAACCTTGACAATTTTAAGGCATGTGGACTTCAACTCCCAGAATTCCACAGCCAGCAATGCTGGCTGTGGAATTCTGGGAGTTGAAGTCCACATGCCTTAAAATTGTCAAGGTTGAGAAACACTGTGTTAGATAAATTGGGAATAGAAGATGTTCCAGGGACTCGAGGTGAAAGACTATAAGATGCTACATGTAGTCTTTGACTTATGACCAGAATTGAACCCCAAACTTCAGTTGTTAAGTGAGACATTTGTTAAGTGAGTTGTGCCCCATTTTATGACCTTTCTTGCCACAGTTGTTAAGTGAGCCACTGCAGTTGATAAGCTAGTAACCCGGTTGTTAGGTGCATATAAGGAACGGCTGCTGGAATTGGGTATGTCTAGTTTACCGAAGAGAAGGACGAGGGGGGGACATGATAGCAGTATTCCAATATCTCAGGGGCTGCCACAAAGAAGAGGGAGTCAAGCCATTGTCCAAAGCGCCTGAAGGCAGGACAAGAAACAACGGGTGGAAACTAATCAAGGAGAGAAGCAACCTAGAACTAAGGAGAAACTTCCTGACTGTTAGAACAATTAACCAGTGGAACAGCCTGCCTCCAGAAGCGGTGAATGCTCCAACACAGGAAGTTTTTAAGAAGAGACTGGACAGCCATTTGTCTGAAATGGTATAGGGTTTCCTGCCTGAGCAGGGGGTTGGACTAGATGACCTCCAAGGTCCCTTCCAACTTTACTATTATTATTATTATTATTATTATTATTATTATTATTATTATTATTATTATTATTATTACCACCACCTGGCTTCCCCCACTGATTTTGCTTCTCCAATCACATGATCTTGGGAACCAGCTGCCAAGCATTTGAATTTTGATCACATGATCATCGGGGTGCTGCAAAGATCGTAACTGAAAAATGGTCATAAGTCACATTTTTTCAGTGTCATTGTAACTTTAAACAGTCACGAAGTGAACTGTTGTAAATCGAGGACTACCTGTATAGTTTTTAATCTTCGTGTAAAACTATATTCCAGGGTCTCTTTTTTTTTTAGTTTTTTTTTTTAGTCCCACCTTTATTATTTAACACAAGGCAGCAAACATACTCTTTCTTCTTTCTCCTATCTTCCCCACAACAACCCTGTGAGGTTAGCTGGACTGAAATTAGAGTGACCGGCCCAAAGTCACCCAGCCAGCTTTCGTGCAACTTAATTTAACATCTTAACTGGAACTTACCCACGGTTCATCGGGAACACTAGTTGCAACTTTTCACCTGGTTGAAGAGCTCTTTTTGTTTATTTCTGAAAGCAGCTCCCTCAAATTAAAGATTCCTCCATCAAAGATGAGGTGATCATTGTGCAGATCGATAATAATAATGATAATGATAATGATAATGATAATGATGATAATGATGATAATAATGATAATAATGATAATAATGATGATAATAATGATAATAGTAATAAAGTTGGAAGGGACCTTGGAGGTCATCTAGTCCAACCTCCTGCTCAGGCTTCTTTACTTTTTTCACCACTGAATTTCATTTTGTTGGATAGCGCCCAGTGTTCAAATCTGTCCAGGTCCTCCTGTATCTTAAGCCTGTCTTCTGGAGTGTTGGCTATTCCTGCCAGCTGGGTGTCGTCCGCAAATCTGATGAGTTCCCCATCTATCCCCTCGTCCAAATCGTTGATGAAGATGTTGAAGAGCACTGGACCCAGAACAGAGCCCTGGGGCACCCCACTGCACACATTTATTTAAGATGTGGGGTGTGATTTGCCTTTTTTGCCCCATCGCTTTTGGAAGCCTGTTCAACATCTCATTAGCCATTAATGAGGTTGAAAATTGGTGCAGCGGGCAAGGATAATATACAACCGGAGGATTTAGCTTGGCTTCTTGGCGCTATGCCGAACATGGGTTTCCGCTTTCCAAAGCTTATCTCACTGCAGTGAATCACAGTCCAAGGAGCTAAGCATTGCCAGGAAATTCTGGCTAAGAAATATTGACCTGGAAAGTCCTTATGCATTATGAGATGTTCCTTGGGAGGTGTCATGTGGGAATAATGAGCACATAAACACTCGTTGTCTTTTAATGGACCAGAGCCCACAGAGGGACTATTCCAATTAAAGTTACATCAAGCCGTGGATGAAGTTCCCTTCCAGAGCATGGTTTTGAAATTACCAAGTAACTAGGTTGGAGGTTGTTTTTTTTTAAGCAATGACAATTTTTTCCCCCGTTTGAATCAATTTAGGCACTGCCTGGGTCTTTGCATGTATGAGGGACAATCAGAATGGCACAATTCTGTAAACATTTGCATTTTATATAATCCAAAAGTGTTTCTGCATAGATCTACCTATCCATTGTCATATCTGACTTTATAGCTCTACTTTATGTTATAATGTAACATAAAACTTGCTTGGCATTGTGGGAGAAAGCCAAGACCCCCCCCCCCCCGTGCTTATGCCTCTCTGTTCAGAAGCATTACAGGTAGTCCTTGACTTAACGTTCATAACAGGGTCTAGAACAGGGGTGGCGAACCTATGGCACGGGTGCCAGAGGCGGCACTCAGAGCCCTCTCTGTGGGCACATGCGCCGTTGCCCCAGTCCTAGGCCTTCAGCTGGGTTTTATAAAACCTTTTCGCTTTAGGCCTCTGCCGCCGTGTACAAAAAAAATAAGGTTCAATCAATCAGTCAATTTCAACTTCTCGCGGGGAAAAAAAAGATCTTGCAAAGTTGGAAATGAGTGATTGAACTTTTTAATCCCACCCAGTCTGCCGTTACCACCGCAGCCATGCCCACCCAATGGGCCACACCCACCTGGCACCCGACGATGCATAAGTGGGTTTTGGGTTGCAGTTTGGGCACTCGGTCTCTAAAAAGTTCGCCATCGCTGGTCTAGAATTTCCATTGTAAGTCATGATGGTCATAAGTTGAGGCACCCATGTGACCAGACCTGATTTTACGACAGTCCTTAAGCAAACACCATGTTTGTTGAGGATTTCCCCAGAATGTCTCTCTCTGGGCAATCAGCTCTGCATCAGAATTCCAGAGTACCAACTTCAGGAGACATTAATAGCTGCAGAATGGCAAGTTGATCTCTGAAATAAGCTATGGAGGCAAAATAAGCTCCTGAAGCTTTTGGCTAACTCAGGCTCTTGCTTACCAACTATGTTTGATTCCGGCTGAGAATTGTTCATCATGGCTTGCTGGCCTGTCTTGCTGCAAAGAGGTGCTATCGTTCAGGTCGGGCCGATGGTTGTTCTAGCGCAGTGTCTTTCAAACTTGGCAGCTTTAAGTTATGTGGATTCCAACTCCCAGAATTCCACAGTCTGCATGCTGGCGGAGGAATTCTGGGAGTTGCAGTCCAGACGTCTTAAAAGTTGCCAAGTTTGAAAAGCTCTGCTCTAATTCCTAATGAGAGTCGAGCTGCGGCTCTAACACTGTTTATTCTGGGATTCCTTAGGAGGAGCTGCTTCACCTCTGCTTGCAAGGAGTTTTCACGTTCCTTCCGTTTTTTCTTTCTCTCCATCCCCTTTTTTCTTCTTGCACAGGGTGCGAATTTTTCAAGGAGTACAAAGAACGGGATTACACAGCAGAAGGACTGGTATTTAACTGGAAGCAGGTATGGACCAGGCAGCCAAACCGACTCACTCGAATGCTGTTTGAATGGGTTGTATCTAAACTAGGACTCTCTGTAAGAACACTTTGGAGAGGCTGGTCTCAACTTGTCATCAACATCCTGCCTTGTTGGAAGAAAACAACCAACCAGGGCCGGGCCAGCAACGTGTAGATGCTAGCTTAGGTGGATAGGAAAACTGCATTTGTCACCTGAATTGACCCAGTTGCTCTGTCTAATGTAGTAAGGTTAGCCTTGCGTGAACCCAAGAGGCCTCTAGAAGGCTTTCAGCTGCACTTATGGGCCACATGTAGCTTTCTGGAGATCTCTTCAGAGATGTCGGCTGTTGTTGATACAACTGCTGAAAGTGACATCCATTCTCCACGATTTTGAAATATATAATAAGAACTGAATGGAATCTTTAGAACAGACTTGAGGTGTTTAAACCTCATCCCTCCCAAGCATGAAATAACCCTGACATCTCTGATGCGGCACCACCAATCTTGCATCATCACCCCTTCCATACAATCTTTAGCCTCTCCAAAACATACAAAATGCAACTCCGTTTAGCCTCCTTTGTTGTAAGCAGTGTCTTATCAGGTTGCTGCTCACCCCACTCCTGTATTTGCTGCCAGCAGAAAACTAGAGACTTTCAGCCTTTTCCTGCTTCTTCTTTCTCCTCCTCCTCCATCATCATCATCATCACTAACAGGCACTTTCCCATTGAGAAATTCTTTTGAAAACCATATAACCACCAATAGGATTTCTCCTTTTTGCCTATGAAGGAGAAAGGTGGGCAATATCATTGCTTGCAAGTAAGGAACATAGCACAGGGAAAGCATTATTTCTGTCAAAACCACAGACACGCAAGATATTGTTGGATGGCCATCCTTTATTTAGGTGACCAGAACAATCAGTGCCAAGAAGAATCCCTGGAGAGAATGGAAGATAACTTAGCCACTGAGGAACATGGCAAGACAATTATCATTCTGCTATGCTATATTTATATGTTACTTATATGTAAGGGTTTAGGTTTATACCAGTGATGGCGAACCTTTTAGAGACTCCCCCCCACACCCCTGTCCCCGCTCCGCTCTGCCCGCTGGACCACCCACTGGCCCGCCACAGATCACCCAGGCAGCCCAGCAGCACCATGGTGGCCACGCCCTCCGTCCGTGCCCCGCAGCATCATCTGTGTGCAATGGGGCACAAGGGCGGAGTCTTGTCCCCGCTGCCCAGCTACCGTGTCCTTGGCTGTGCTGCTTCGCGTGGGCCGCGCCCAGGGGTGACTCTCCTCCAGGGGAGTTGCTGGTGAGGAGGGGGCCATGGGAGAAGGCGGGGCTGGGGCGACGGTGTGTGTGTGCCCACAGAGAGGGCTCCCGAGTGCCGCCTCTGGCACGCGTGCCATAGGTTCGTCACCACTGGTCTATGCATATGTTGTATATAGTATGTTTAAATGTGTGTTATGTATGTGTGCAGTTGGAGAGCCAGTAACTAAATTTTTTTTTAATGTGTGCCGTTGTGCCCACAGTAAAAAAAATGACAATAAAGGTTATCTATCTATCTAAGGCAGAACTAAGATTCCAGTGGACTTGGGAGGAGGTTTTGTGGCAATACCTTTGCCACAAAATATGCATAGATCTTGACTGAAAGAGTTGGATTTCCCTGACTGGTATATAATTTTGTATTACAGGAGTAATACAAAAGCAAATTATACTCTCCTGTTTCTAATATTTTCTAAACCTAGCTTTGTCACACCATCTGGTTATTGAGAGAATGAATATTCCCGTTTATTTGCAGGATTATGTAGATGCTCCCTTAAGTATCCCAATCTCTCTTACCAAGCCTTTGAACATCGATTGGAGTGAATATCAGGTAAGAAGGAGAAAAGGACGTCTTTATGAAATTCCCTTTCTTGCAGTAACAAACTGTAGGGCTGTTTCCTTGGGTTGGGGTTTGCGGTGACTTCTGCCTTGCAGTCATTTGATCCAGGATTCTTTGGGTGCGAAAGTATCGGAAGGAACTGTCTGGATTAATGCTGGATTAGTCCACATTCTGTGTTGCTCTAGATAGCAACATGGGTGGCATATAAGTTTAATAAATAAAATGTGTGAGTTCGTCCTTTATCCTTTGCTTGCTAATTTTCCAGACAGTTTTTTTAAAGCCATACCCATTTATTTTGTTAACACCTTTCTTGTTCTCTCTGAATCCGAGAACAATTTATTTGGGGGGTTCTCCAGGAGCTTCTTAGTTGGGAAGCTTAGTCTGAATGTAGAATTTCCACATTCTTTTCAGTTATTTACTATGCCAACAGTAGATCGGGCGAAAAAGAGTGATTTGTTAAATTTCCAAGTGAGCCCACCTTAAGGTCCTTGGTGGATCCCAGCAACTGGCTCAGCAGTGGTCAGCTGAATGTTTACATCTAAAGATTTTCCTTCTGTCGCTGCTCCAAACAAGACTGGTCCGCAATTGGAGCATCCTCCTGATCTTATAACTCCTGTATGAGAAACAGGTGGCAGTTATGGCCAGGAGGGCATTTGCATAGATTCACCTTACATGCCAGTTGTACCCTTTCCTAGATCCCTCCTGCTTTGGTCACCTTCCACATGGGTTGCTGCAATGTGGGCTACCTGGAGCTGCCTTTGAAGACTATGTGGAAGCTCCAGTTGGTCCAGAATGTGGTGGCTTGGGTTGTTACCGGGCAAACTGTGATATGCCCGTGCTACATCACTGCTCCATGAGCTGCATTGGCTGCCAGCAGCCTTCCAGGTGTAACTCGGAGTGCTGATTATCACCGATAAAGCCCTTAATTACCTGGGCCTGTGTTATTTTCAAGACCGTCCTTGACTCATTGTTTCAGCCTGACCTGTTAGATCCAGCCCGGCGGACACTTTTCAGGTCCCATCTATGAACCAGTGTGATCTGCTGGAACCTAGGAAGTGGATCTTCTGTTTTGTGACACTTGTCCTTTGGAACAACATATCTCTCCCGCCCCCCCCCGAGATATTTTTCGCCCCAACTCTGCTGGCATTTCATGAATCCTTGAATAACCTCTATGTTTCCCCAGATGTGAGGCGTGTAGATAGCATGAGGCCATCGTTGTATTTTTTTTTATCGACATGTTTGGGCTTTGTGGTTTGAGCTCCTGCCATTATTTTATTTATTGTCCTTGTTATCTTGTTATGTTAGTTTTAATCAGGTGTTTTCCACCCAGAATTGCAAATGCCAGATGGGTGGCTATATAAACTGATGGATATATAAAGCAGTGTCATGAAGTAAATTATCCTCTTCATAATATCTCCTATACCTGTTACTCAGTGATATACCGTACATCAAATGTACAGATATGCTTTTCATAAATGAGGGTGCCAATTTATTAATCTTGTGCATCTTGTGTTTCTAGAAATATATCCACAAGTAGCTTGCGAAGTTTTCTTTACAAAAAATATTGATCATTCAAATACATCAAACTAATGGACAAGTCTATCCGTGGTACAAAATAACTAGAAAATATAACCACAGCAAAATTAAACAGGCTTGTAGATTTACAGTTTGTTTTGGTTTCTGTCTGGATTGAGATGAAAACACTGCCTGTAAAATAAGAAATACACTTAAGAAGAAAAAAAAAAGGCATACCTAGTTTGGGATGGGTGGGAAGGATTGCCTGTCTGACTGAGAGATGAAGAATGTAACAATTCCATGAGTTGCTTAATTGCAGATCCTAAAGCAGGGGTCTTCAAACTTGGCCCTTTTATGACTTGTGGACTTCAACTCCCAGAATTCCTCAGCCAGGCACGTTGGCTGAGGAATTCTGGGAATTGAAGTCCACAAGTCATAAAAGGGCCAAGTTTGAAGACCCCTGTCCTAAAGGGATTAGTAAATACAGGTAGTCCTTGACTTTATGACCATGATCAGGTCGTATGTCTTTATGGTCATAAGTCAAGGCGCCACACGACTGGAAGTTATTTTATGGCCAGTTCTGTGGTAATTATTAAGTCAATACTGGATCTTGTTAAGTGAATCCAACAGTCATAAGTATGAATCCATTCAAGTGGGTCTTTTTGGCCAGAAACTAGTAAAAAAAAAATTGTGAATCACAGTCATGTGACCACAGAATGCCATGATTGGTCATAAAAGTGACTGGTTGCCAAGCACCCGAAGTGCGGTCATGTGACTGAGGGGTAGCCATTTACAATGGCCAGGGGTTCTTTACAGGCTGTTGTAAATCTGAACAGTTGTTAAGTGTTCAGCTGTAGGTCGAGGACTACCTATATAGTGAGGTATGCAGAGATGTATTGTTAATCCATATCTGGAAGGAGAGCGGTTCCCCACCCTTTATCTTCTCCCTGGAAACAAAACTTTGGACCAGGTCATACTTTGAGTTTCCTGGACCATTTTCAGGAAGACTTGCTCAGTATTGATGCTGTAATGATGGTAAATCATGGTTTAAACAGAAGAATCTATCCTTGCAAATTCGTATGATTTCCCCCCCCCCCCCAGCCATCTGTGGAATTGGGATTCCTCTCAGAATTCTGCTAATCTCACTTTCTTTCTGTGGCATTTCAACTAAAATAACAATACTTTTCAGTCTCTCTAATTCCCTCTCATCTTTGATGGAACTTCTCATTTGCACGCCTCCGTCCTAAGATGAGATGTTTTTAACCATCCTTCTCTGCCATCTCCCTAAACACATAAAGCTTGACAGCTAGAGCTCTCCAAGCGATGCAAGCTTTATTTTTATCCTGGTCCTTCCTATTGTCACCGTGTCAAATTGCTAGCTTGGCTTGAAAAGTGAGATAGTCGTGTTTATAGTTACTTCCAGACCTTGTGGGAAGTCTGTAGCGATGAAAAGAAAAACCAATCTTAACAGGGAAAGCCTTCCCTTAAAACTTATATAATTTGTCAAAAAGTAAATGGTCATCAGCGCCTGTTGGGTCCAACCCTAGAGACAGTTGCAGTTGTGCTGTGGCAGCAGATGCTGCATTTATTTGTACACCAAGACCGCCTCCTACCAAACACCTCTCTTCGACCAGTCCGCTCCCACAGAGAGGGCCTCCTTAGAGTGCCGTCGGCCAGACAATGCCGGCTGGCGACCCCCAGGGGAAGAGCCTTCTCTGTGGCAGCTCCTGCCCTCTGGAATGACCTACCCCCCGACCTACGTACAGTTGCGGACCTGCGCCTTTTTCGCCGAGCCCTGAAGGCCCATCTATTCCATGCGGCCGGTCTGGCGTAGTTTGATTATGTTTTAGTGGGAGTTTTGTATGGGGTACTTTTAGAGCAGGCCTGTTATTTAATTTGATTTTAGAACAGAAACTTGTGTATATTTATCGTGGTTTTTATTATCGCCTGTTCACCGCCCTGAGTCCCGTAAGGGAGATAGGGCGGTATATAAATTCAATAAATAATAATAATAATAATAATCCCATATCTATGTATCTTTCTCACGTTCTGAAAATTACAACAGGAATCTACTACAGTGTCAGTGCAGGAAAGTCAGAGGGGGAAGTGGTGACTTGCTAGATTTTTAGCACTTAGAGATGCCTTTTGGGTGGAGCAGCAATCTTGTGCTGGGCAAAACGGGTGGGTCTTCACATCCTGTTGTTAAGGAGGCAGTGGTTAGGTTCATGTGCTTTTCTAGAAGTTATTTTACCCATTTCCAACCAGGATCTGTTGACTTAATATTGCTTAAAGAGAGCAAGAGCTCTACATGGGGCTGCCCTTGATGAGTATCCAGAAGCTTCACCTGGTGCAGAATGTGTGCCCCCCCACAAGAACAGCACGTGTTATACCTCTACTCCGTGAGCTCCATTGGTTGCCAGTCTGCTTCCAGATCCGGTTCAAGGTGCTGATTTTGACCTTGAGAGCCCTCCGTGGCATGGAGCCAGGCTATTGAAGGGACCACCTCTCCCTCAATATCTGCCTGTCCCATCAGTTCCAATAGAATAGGCATGCCCTGTTAAGGAACTACATTTGGCAGGCCCCAAGAGGACGGGTCTTCTCTGCCCTGGCACCTGCTTTACGGGAGAATGAGGAGTGAGGTTACTTTGCTCTCTGTTGATTTTCCAGAAGTCTCTCAGAATCTGGCTAGGCCAGTAGGCCTGAGGGTCCCAGGCAACTGTTGAGATCTTGAGGTGGCTCCATTATTGCCGTTAACACCTGTTCTCTCGTAATAATGGCAGTTTTTATGCATTTACTATTGAGGGCTTGTACACTGCCCAGAGTCACTTTTTGTGAGATGAGCAGCTATATAAATTTGACATAAAAATTAATTAATTGCCGGGTCCTTGGCGATCTCTGAGCTTGGTTGTTTTCTTGCTCACAGAGCGCAAACTCTACTCCCTTCTAGCACTGATGAGGTTACCTAGTTGGGTAATGAAACATCTGCAAGCTTAACAACCGAGCCTAGAGAACACTAAGGACCCCACAGTTCAACACTGAGCTACAACTATTCCCTTCAATTGGTAAATTGAATGAATGGATGGAAGGATGGATGGATGGATGGATGTTCTTTGCTGATAACAGTTTCTCAAAATCACCTGCCCAGTCTTGGAAAGGAAAGGAGGAAGATCTGGAATTTAAAATCAGTGCCTTTGGCAACCACATTTATAGTCAGTTGTGTTTTCTGATCAAAAATAATGTTAAATAAGTACAGGTAGTCCTCGAGTCACGATCACAATTGAGCCCCAATTTAAGCTGCTTAACTGAGTTTGCCCCATTTTACGACTTTTCTTGTCCCAGTTGTTAAGTGAGCCATTGCGTTTGTTAAGTTAGTAAGGTGAATCTGGCTTCCCCCTTGACTTTGCTTGCCAGAAGGTCGCAAATGACCCCGGGACACACCGTGACCGTCATAAATATGAGGCTGTTTGCCAAGCATC